GATAAACACACACATTTGCAGCAAAATGAGTACACAAAGATATTTTTAATATGCACAAAAATGTGTACACACTAAAAAAACATCCTATCTGATTCAGAATTGGGACAAAATGAACCTAGCAGTTAAAAAAGACCATAAACACTTGGGTAAATCAAAATTTGACAAATTCAGACATCTCCACTTGATTCTCATTTGTGGGTCGGGGTGAAGAAGCTGCTGGTGCCTTTAGAATGGACTTCTTAATCATTCTGGATTCCTCCCATGAATCAGTGTATACTGCCTGACTTCTAATTAAGGCAACAACCTCATGTTACAGATTATAAGTTTTGTCATCATATCCTTTGCATGTCTTTCTGCTGAAGTAGAAATCCAACATATGGGGAGTGGAATTCAGTCATCCTGTCTTTCAGTGGGGAAGCTCCAAGTTACTTTGGCGAAGCAGCATTCTTCTCTCTGGTTAGAAAACTTCCAGGGCAGGAAGCTGATAATCAAATTGCATTGACACTCAAATATTTACTGTGGTGCAGTAATGCAAACTCTGTGCTCCTCTAATGAGAGTCTGCTCTAATTTTGCTTTCTGATTGTTGACACAAGGACAAGGACAGAAGGCAGCTGCTGTACCAGCTCTTCACTAATGCTTTAGTTGTTTTGCAGCAGGCACTGGTGAGGCGCTCTGCTTCTGTCTTCAGAAGAGGAGGGTGGCTAGACAAACAGAGCCCCAGCATCCCCTGTGGTGCCATTTTGCAACAGATGCATATTCTTAAAACAGTGTCATGTGTTTTTTCTGAATGTTGTGGAAACCTATAATCCTGAGCTGTTGTGATCTCAAAACAACAACAACAACTCATTTTTGGTTTTAAAAGACCACAAACTTGGAATATGGGCTTGTCCTGATCCTTTGTGACTAATGTGTTGCTAACACAACTCCAGGACAGACCACCAACTCGTCTCTGCCTTATGCCAGACTACACATCACAAAGTTCAATTTTATGACATTTCTACAAGTATCAACAGGCAATTTATTGATAGACAAGTGCCAGTCTAATTCACTGTCTGCTTTTTAGCAAACTGTCAAGATTAAGGTGTTCTACTTGATCTTATTAAGTGTTGGCTCCTGCCTTGGTGGGTCCTCTTCAAAGACAGAAAAATGCAAGCTAACCACCATTCTATTGTTGGTAGAATGTCCTTGACAAATCAAATGGCTACAAGACTGTTGGAATTAATAAAAGGGGAGTTGATTCAAATGAAGGCCAGCTAATTCTACTTCAGTAAAAAAGTCACTTGTAATCGCTAGTTATATTGGTGAAAGTGATCCATGATGAATTATGAACTGAAGCTGTCCAGTGCTCCCTTCTACTTTTCTTTCTTCTCCAGACATGTTTCATTTAATATATGGAGGGAGAAAGCTAAGTAAGAAGCTTTTGTGCAGAATGTTGGCAGTTATCTAATTGCCTGTGAATTGGCACAGTTAAGGGTCTAAAATATTTACATTGACTCTTCAGGGTTTGATGTACCAATGAACAAACCAATGTATTCATAATCTAACTTTCAAAGAGGCTTTCCCAGAAACGTCTCCTGGGCAAATTGTATAATGGTATGAGCAATTTAAAGCTTCCTGCCAGGATGTATTTCCAGTTATTGACAATGGGGTTCCAGAAGAATAGACAGCTCTTGCAATAGCTTGATCGGTTTTTCCTTGTCCATGAGGTGTCAGCTTATCTACAAATAAAACTACTGAGTATATTTGTATGCACTTTGCAATATTTGTTTCCTTGAAGATGCTGCTGCTAAGGGGAAACTCTTTGTGCTAATGCTGGTTTTATAGAAGGTGCAAAAAGGTGACTTCTGGCATGAGACAATGGGAAAAGTTTCTGGTACTTTTGTCAGTATGGTCCTCCTTACTTAGATCTATGAAGGATTTTAATGTCCTTTGATGTTATTTTCAGTTCCCTTTTGTTGCTCTGTGCTTTCTCCCAGTCCTTTGAAGCCTAGTCAAGAGGACAGAAGCAGATCTACCTGCTGCACCACCAAGAGGGAGCCCATTAGCAAGGAAGAAGCAGCGACCTCGTTCCTTGTCTTGTGATGATGGCAATGCCCTTTAGGGACAGAACTGCATCTTGCTGTTGCATTTGAGAGTTGTCTCAGTTTACAAACTAGGATTGGCTTGGCCATCAGTGCACAGGGATCCTAATGATCTGATACTGTCCTAAGTCTTGCATAAGCATCTATTCAAGGGGTGGCCAAAGAAGGCTTGTGGCTCTTTGAGTTTATTTCGCAGCTCACAGAGGGGCCAGAAAGCCGCTAGCATAGCAGGTTCCTATTTGTTTCTGGTGTGGAGCAGGGACGGGACAGGGTGGGACAATCACCTGACGTTCATTTTAAGTGAGCAGGTCTGGCTCCGATCTATTACATAGTGTTTAGAAAACATTTTGTGGGAATAAATGCATGTATACCCTGCTTGATGCAATTTATTCATGACTCTGAAAAGAAAAAAACAAACAATGGATTATGAAATATCTGCATTTCCAGTTTTGAGGAGGAAACACATATGGTTCTTGGGGGGAAAATGCCTCCCCTTTCCAATCCCTGTCCCCCTGCCCCCAGCCTTCATCGCCTGATGTACAGCGTGCCTCTCCATCCCTCCCAGAAGAGCTTCTCTCCGGAACTGACCATATCCCACTAGTTCTCTCCATCCCACCAGGCCTCCGTAGTGCCCATTTTGTCTAGGTTCTCCTTTAACACCAGACCCTCCCGCTCTCCTAGTTTGGCTCCGAGGCTCCTGGCATGGGCATAGCCACAGCTGCACACACAACGCTTTCCAGATGCCTGCCTCTGCATCTTCTGCTGTAGCACATAGGCCTGTCTGATCTGCTGGGGTTCCCCTATGCTCATTGCCTGTTTACCCCCCTTCCACATCTGGGCAATTGTAAATCTGTTGAATTTCATTCCTCAGGAGTGATCCACCCTGAACTATGCTTCCCAGGACCCGTTGGCTTCTATCCAGAATTCAAGTTGAAAGCTTCCCTGCCACTTTTTTATGTTTAGTGCCAGGAGAGCTTGCTTCCTTCATGGTTCAAAACTTTCGTACAGGCCTGGCTTGTCTTAGTGTTCCCCATTGCCTAACAAATCAAACCTCACCTCCTCACACTACTTCTCATCCATGCTTTCCGATTCCTCAGATTTCCCTATCTAGCTGTCCCTGCTCATGAAACAGACAGAATTTCAGAGAAAACTACTTTCACGGTCCTGGATTTCAAATTTAGCAACCTCAAATTAACTCCCAGGACTTCACAACTACATTTCCCCACATGAGCGGTGCCTGATCTCAGTTTCCCCAGCCTGCTGCACCATCACAAATCCAAAAAGTCACACAGCAGTGCTGCAAGAGAGACATCTTCCCTGTCTGCCTGTTCCCTGGCGTCGAGGAGAGAATGAACCTCGGTGTTCCCATGGGATCCGTGGGATACCTATGGGAAGACTAAAGGGAGGAGTGAGAATAGGGCCCACAATGTGCCCATTCACCTCCCAAGTATACCCTTGGCTCCTGTGTAGAGAACCCACATCACATGGCTTGTGCTGCCTTGTATCATGCAAATCCATCCATTGGGTTGCTGAAGGGAACAATACACAAGCAGAGGTGATTTGGAGGGGATGTCATTTGGAAGGGAAGAGTTCGGATTTGGGTGCTTTTAAAAAACTGAATTATAAGTTGGACTTTCACTCTTAGGATGACTTTATTTCTGAGCTTTAATTCAAGAGCTGCTCCATAGGACCTAAAAACCTGAGCCTCCACTGAGCCCAGATGGAAACCGTCCTTCACTTAATGTTTCCAAGTGGAGTCTTCTACTTGCTAGGCCTGCAAGTGACTTTTACTGGTATAGAAGTGTGCATTGTTTTCACTGTCACTTTCTAAGGTTAAGTACAGTGGTACCTTGGCTCATGCACTTAATCCATTCCAGGACTCTAGTCGTGACCCAAATTGGTTGTGAGCCGTTAAATTTACTCATAAGGTTCAGTGTAAATAAGATTAAACCGTTCTGTAACTATTTTTTTTTAATCAGAAAAATGTGAAGCAAAGTGACAACAACAAAGATTGCGGCCATCTCCCCCCCAAGCTCCAACATGAGCACAGCCATCTCCTCCCCCCTCCCCACACAACCGCGATCGAGCCCATCATCCCTGCACATGCCCGTCATCCCAGTGCACTGGGGTGGGGGGGGAGACGGCGCAATCGTGGGTGCACTGGGGGGGGAGAGATGGACATGAATGGGGCGTGCTAGGGGGGAGACGGGCGCAAACTTGGGCGCGCTGGGGAGGGAGAGACGGGCACAAACGCAGGCATACTGTGGGGGAGAGACGGGCGCGATCGTGCTGGGGGCGAGATGGCCAAGATTGCGGTTGCGCTTCTGCAGGAAAGACAGACGCAATCACGGGCGCACTCATGCAGGAAAGACAGGCGTGATCTCAGCCATCTCCCCACTTGGTGGGTGGGGGGAGGTGGCTGCGGTCATGGTCGCCACCCAACGTGGAGTTCGTGACCTGAGTTAAAATTTTTATGAAATTTTTGTTCGCGACCCAGTTTGGTTGTGAACTGAAGCGTTCGTGAGCCGAAGTACCACTGTATATGGTTGGAATTCTTTTCAACCACTCCAGAGTCTCTACTAAAGCAAAGCTGAGAGATATGTAAATTCCTGCTGGATTTCCTTCCTGGGATTTAGGTTCTAACTGTACGTTTGTAGAAAGTTACCTTTCTGGAATAAACTTCCTTTGCCAAGCCTTGGTTCGTCTTCAGCTGAAAATGTATGAGTTCAAATGATTTCCTAGGATAATTTAATACATATTTTAACAGTAAATAAAAAGCTCTTACCTTCTCGCTTAGTTGCTTAGCTCAGTTGCGTGCTCACACTTAGTCACTGAGGCTGCTTGTGCTTGGAGAGTTGAGCCCTGGTTTCGCTTTTATGAATGCCTGTACCTCCAATTTCCCTCTTCTTGCCACATAGGACAAATTTGGAAGCCCTGCAAAAAAAGTTGGAGGAGTTAGAACTTGATGAGCAGCAACGGAAACGTCTCGAGGCCTTCCTTACTCAGAAGCAGAAAGTTGGGGAGTTAAAGGATGATGACTTTGAGAAAATCAGTGAACTGGGTGCTGGAAATGGTGGTGTGGTTTTCAAAGTTTCGCACAAGCCCTCTGGCCTCATTATGGCAAGGAAGGTGAGTGTCAGTGCTGGCTAGGTGGAAAGAATGGTTGGCTAATTTCCCATTGACAGTCTTCCTTTTGTCAGTCATTTTGATTAATGTATTGCAAGACATACCTGAATATTTTTACAGAACCTCCTCCTACAATGCTAGGACCAGAAAACTATAATTTTGGTTCTTCTGCATTGTGTTCAATTATACACAGAGAAAGCATAGAGCTGATTGGAATATTAACCCCTGGAATCAGAACGGCAGTAAGCCTCATTTTGCCATACCCTTTCCCTTGCCATTAAAAATTCTACAAATCCAGTGATGTCTCTCTTGTTTTCATATATTGGCTGAAAAATGGTAGTGACACATCATCACTTTCAAGTTCTAAACTAAAGTTATCCCATGGATAATATTGCAGACTTTGGACAGTCTGTTTAGGTATCCCTGTCTTTCACACCCTCCTCCACCCCCAGTCTGCCAGTTGTGCCTAGTATTTTGATCTGTGTGTGCTAAGTGGGGTGGCCACTTCTGCCTCATTAAGAGTGAATCATCTGCAATTGTCACATGACCACAGTACAAAACTGGTAGTTTTCATGACAGGTCTTACGCACATAATAGCAGAAATTGCTTTTGTCTTTCTGTAACACACAAATGTCCGCACCTCAAACTTCCTAAAGGAATCTTCCAGGAAAGAAAATCCTGCAATTCTTGGTACAATCTGTGTTCAGTCCAGTATGTCTGGACGGCCTGCCACAATGTCCAGCATATGCCTTTTTTCTTTCCTTAACACCAGCGATTCAGCCAATGAAGAAACTGATGATAATTGGTTATTTTGCAGTTGATTCATCTAGAGATCAAGCCAGCCATTCGGAACCAGATCATCCGGGAACTGCAAGTCTTGCACGAGTGCAATTCTCCCTATATAGTGGGTTTTTACGGAGCATTTTACAGCGATGGGGAGATCAGTATTTGCATGGAGCACATGGTAAGTCTGCCTCTTTGTCGTGTTTGCTGCATCTGCAGACTCGTGCCTGTGTTGTGCTTTGCCCCCTGAGTATGGTCTGAGGATAGTGAAACAAGTCCAGAACATGTTCACACAGAATGCTTTGTCAAATTTCTGGCATCAGTGGATCTCGTGAAAGGATCTGTAGGCTGCAGGCTGGCTCCTGAGTGACTGCAAGCCAGAAGCACAGCTTTCAACCAGAGGCCTGAATGCAGGTGGACTTTACCACTGTTATTTTCTTCTGGATATGTCTGCATCCTGGTGGGCAGACTTCTGAGCTAGACAAGACTGTTGGCTGAAGGACGCTTTTGTGGGGTTTGATGGTTTTCGTGCTCCCAGGCCCACTCGGAATAGGAATCCAGCAGAGAATGGTTGCGCCTCTATTTCTGAAAACATAAAATGCAGCTGTTAGAGCTCCAGAAATACTTAAAATGTACACATTTTGTGACCTTTGGGTGGCCCTAATTCATTTATTGCATGAAGTGGACTTCAGGATTTCTCTTACAGCCCAAATGTTGCTTTTTTGCTTTGTGCATCAAGAGACAGTTGCTGACTTTTTGCCAATCGCCTCTTTCTCCGGCAGAGCTTCCTCACGCATTTCCCACCTGGAATGAGAAACAACAAGCCTGCCGCTCAATACAAATCAGTTCAGCATCTCCTCTTTTCCACCCTGTCTCCCAGCCAGCCTTTAGTGCCCACCTTGATTTTTGACAGATGTGGAGCAGAACCTGATCAGTATAGACTCAGTTTGCCCTGATCTATCTTTCTTTTGCCCTCAGTCTTCTGATGTTCCATGTTTAACTTTTATGTTTTGTCTTGTTTTCATTTTGATAGGAGAAATTATACTTTGCCCTCTCCATCTGTCAGCCTTTGTCTAGCCAGATGGAACCCCCACATTTAGAACAGTCTCACTGTCTCTGTGATTAGAAGGTCAATGAAATCTCTCCCTCTCTTCAAACCAAGATAGAGGTGCTAAAAGATTTCATGTGTGTGCCCAAAGACTTGGGTGGGGGGATAAGAGGAGAATCGTTCTGGAGCTAAATGAAATGGTACTTTAAAAATAGCAGTTTTTCTTTGCTTGTTTTTTGAGCAACATTATATACCTTCATTTCTGCTTTGCCTGAAGAGGAGCCTTTATTTCCCTTTTCTGTCGCTAATACTTAAGAAAGGGCATGCAAACTAGGTTTTGATCCCATATTAATAAGAAATGTAAACTTTGAGAAAAGCAACCGAGACCTCAAAATGAAGGCAAGTGAAAGAGAGAAATAAGAGGAGGCAGAAACATGGGGTGGAACCAGGCAGAGTAGAGGAAGGGTCCCATCAGGAAGGAGATTTTAAAGTGCAGTGGGAGGGAGAAGGAAGCAGAATCTCCCCCAGCCTCCAGCTTTCCTCCCCAAATTGCTTCTTAGCTAATTTTGCCCCTAAAGGTAGAGCTCTGAGACCAGCTCGAAGGAGAAAAACGTTTTTTTAAAAACATCCAGTTTCAGGGCAGGGGTGGCAATTCGAGGAGGAAGGCATGTTAAGAAGTGCCATTCTGCTCCCCCACTTCTTCAAGTAGGTGTCAGTTTTGACAGTATCACGTTGTGCCCCCTGTACACATAACAGCATGCCATCAAAATTTGCTGTTGATCTTTTTTTCCAAAATCAAGAGCTACCAGGCGTGAATGGTATTTGAGGAGGAGGAAGGGATAGCAACCTAGGAGGAGCCATGCTGGATGAGACCAGGGGCCCAGCCGCTCTAGCGTTCTGTTCACCCAGCAGCTAAGCAGCTGCCCACAGGAAATCCACAAGAGGTACCACATCCTTGTACCAGAAATGACTGAGCAAAGCTATTTTTAAAGCAAAATTGCTGACCTCAGGTTTGTTTGATTTTTTTAGAAGAGCTGGAAACTTTTAATGACAAAATGAAGTATGGTGGCTTAGAATCTGCACATTCCCTTTGCTCCCTGACTGAATTCTCAGTTTATTTGCTTCCACATCTGATACAAAGTAGACCTTTTCCTCTAAGATCTCTGTTGCACTTGGGAAATGTTTCTATTTATTTATTTATTTATTTATTTATTTAGAAAATTTCTATGCTGCCCCATTCGCCGAAGCCTCGGGGCGGCTCACAAATATATCAATTAAAATATTATACAATAAAAATATAAAACAAGTTAACAATATAAAATAAGTCTCCCTGGCTGAAGAATGAAATAAATAAATAGTATTAGCAGTTAAAATGACGTTTGGATAAAAAGGTCTTCGCCTGGCGCCGAAAAACAAATAACGATGGCGCCAGGCGGACTTCTCTGGGGAGCGCATTCCATAGATTTTGGTTTTACATTTTATTCTCAGAGCAGATACAATACCAGGCTGTTAAAAATGCTTTGAGCAGTTTTAAGGTAATAGTAACTGGCAACGCTTCTTGCACACTTTGTTGCTTTAAAAAAATCCTGCCACCATCTTTCAAGAGGTATGTTGCATTATTATCTCATTTCTGTACTATCCACTCTCTGCGCAGTCACAAAAATGATGAACAACAAATGCAGGATAATAAAAACATGGCACGAGCCAGTGTGGTGCAGCGGTTCAGAGTGTGGGACCAGAACACCAGAGAAATGGGTTCTGGTCCCCACTCAGCCCTGGAGGCAGCCGGGTGATGTCGGGCCAGTCATAGGCTCTCAGCCCAACTCATCTCGTAGGGCTGCTGTTGTCAGGATAAGATTGAGGGCAGGAGGAGAATTCTGTAAGCTGCCTTGAGCTTCTTGAAAGGAAAAAAGACTGGATACAGACACAATAAAATAAATGTAGAAATGGAAGTGTAGACTTAACCATTTAAACAGCCAAGATGGTTACAGTAAAGAGCCATGCCATAATACTCTATTGTGTGCCGTCAAATGCCTGGCAGTGGAGGACGGAAGAACATAACCCTGCTGGTGCGAGGTGGACCTTTTTGGAGAGAGCATTCCACACCTGGGAGACCATGACACTGAAAGCAAGCTGTGTCCCGTGGCTGCCACGGTGGCCGTGTACCTCATCAGCCAAATCAAGTCCAGCATGTCGTGACTAGGCAGTATTCTGCTTGCATTCATCTCTGTATGGCATCCATGTCAGAAGGAATGCAAGTAATTTTGCCGGCAGAATAGAATACAGACTGGTAAACGTGAGCTTTGGAGGGTTTCTCCAGCATCGTCTGTGACTTCCACGCGTTATGAAGACTACAATTAATTTTGCCATTCAGTTCTTCATGACAGCACAACTGAAGAAGAGGGTTAAGGTATCCAAGACCACCCAGTTTGCTTGTTTTTCTGGACAGTAACTTTAAGTTGACTCTTGCCTTTCCACCATCCTTTTCTTAGGCGTAAATGAAAATAGGTAGATAGATGGACTATTTGTACCTTTGCACTTGACCCAAGATTTCTCTGTAACAGAAAATCGCCCTGTCTTGAAAAAATTAGGCATTCTTTTCTCTGACTCCTGCTGTTAAGAAATCAAGATTTTTACTTTTTCTGCTTTTGTACCAGATGCGGCTTTTGACTTAAAAGTACTGCAATTTACAGAAATAAATGAAGCTGATACTGTTTTTCTTCTCCTGAAGCTCTTAGCAACAGCAGTATATATTTAACTTGAAAAGGGTGTGTTTGTTTTCTGTAATACGTTAAATCAAGCCTTGATAATCCAAGGGTGTGATGTGCTTTAAGACTGCCTTTTAACTCCAACCAGCTTTCTGTATCTTGTTTGTCTTTCCCCCAGTATGTACATTTTCTTACATGCCTGCTTGTGTTCATTTGCACAAAGTTTCCACGTAAGTGTGGCTGACAGCCACTGTGAGCAGCTGGTGTGCTGAAACACAAGGTCATGGACCCCCTCCTCTCTCCTCCCTGACATGAGTAGAAATAGACAGTCACGTCCTGTGGGCCAGACTGAACGTTTTAAAGAACAGGTTTAATGGGAAGTCTCCCCACCCCCAGTGAGGCAAGCATCAGCTCTGCGGGCCGTTTTTCATCAGAACAGGGTGCTGCAGGAAAAACATTCAGCACCCCAGTGCTGGAGTGTCGACCGAGGACCCCTTGGGTTGCTTTTTCAACGTGGCAGAGCTCCTCACCAATCTCTGGTGCTTGCTCCAGTTTGGTCCTTTCCCCTGCTGTGTCGGAGCTCAGGGAGGACAGGGCTGTGCCCTCCAAGGCAGCAAAGGAGGGGAGGCCAGCAGTCGGGCGGGATGTGTGGGAGGGGAGAGGGGGTTGTGGCTTCACTCACGGGCAGCGGGGACCACTCTGCAAAATAGATTGGCCTCAGAATCGGGACAGGCAAGGAGGATCTCCGCCCAGCACGGGACAGACCTTGGGCACCCTCGCAGCAGCACAGAAATGTATATTCCGTGCCTGGAAAGACGAGCCCACGTCCCACGCCCGCCCTCAGTGGACTGAAGGCCTTGCTGTTCTTGCTGCAGTTGGCTGCAAATTGCACGGCCTCCCATTTTGTCTGGGTGCGAATTCAGACAGGTGGCTTGTTTATGGGTATTGAAACAGAAGTGTCAGAATTAACACTGTGGTGAACAGGTATTACGACTATCTATGCTTTTAGTCTTCCTTTTCTTCTGTTCTTGTCTGCAGGTTTTTCCTTGTTTTGCTTTGTTTTGTTAAAATTGCATTTTTGATGACTGACTCATGAAAAACCCACAATAAGCATGACATTCATTGCCACCAGCAGTGATGATACTTTTAAAAAAGCCTGGTTTTCAGTTTATAAGCCAAGGAGCTCAATACCTGCTCCACAAGTATTTTCTCTTCACAACATCCCCGTAAGAACGGGCAGATGGATCCTGATCGGTCCAAACAAGGTTACAGTGAGCCTTTAGGACCAGCTCAGGATTGGAAGCTGGGTTTCCCTGGACCAATATGCTATGCTGCCTTTCTTTGAGAAATGTGACATTCATGGAAGGCCGTGGGGTCTCCTGACAGCTCTGGGCTGTGACAGCGAGTCAGACCTTCCAGGTTCAGAGGAAGGAAGGCGTTTGTGATGCTGGAAACAAGCCGGGGGGTGTGCATGCGCATCCCCAGAAGCACTTGTCTGGCTGTTGTGAGAAAATGCTAGGCTACACAGGCCTGCATCTGATTCAGCAGGGCCTTCTTGCGTATTTAGGGGGTGACCACAGACCAGCACTACCTGATTCCCGGCCCCCCCCCTTCTCTGAATGCAGGACGAGATGTTGGAGCTCGTGCAGCCCTCCTGTTACAGTGGGACCGCAGCTCCTCACCATTAGCAATGCTGGCACGAGGGCTGATGGGAAGTGCAGCTGCAGGCCAGCGGCATCTGGACAGCCACACGTTCCCTTTCCCTTGCGTGTGGCTAAAAGCAGTGGAACCCCTGGAGCGTGGGAGGGAATCATTAGGAGCAAGGCAACTGCCGGACAGGTAGCTGCAGACCTTAAAAATGGAGGCATGGGCTTTAGCTGCTTCCAGAACTGGTGCCTGTTTCCCCTCTCATGGTGTGGGTAAGAGATTGCTCCGTGATCCCATGTCCCGATGCGTGCTCCTGCAGGCTTTCCGGAGAGCCTTCAACATGTTGAGGCCAAGCAGAATCAGCACTGAGCATTGCAATGTTTCTTCCCATAGGATGGTGGATCCTTGGATCAAGTCCTGAAAAAGGCAGGCAGAATCCCCGAACAGATCCTAGGCAAAGTTAGCATTGCCGTAAGTATGTTGTCTTGGCATTCAGAAAGTAGGATTCAAAGGCCAGATCCGTCCAGAAGGTGGAGGCAGCTGGTGGAAGTTTTTCTTCGAGGGACGGCGAAACGGGCAAAGCTGACTAGGGCTCAGCATGAATCACTTTCCCCTTCTAAGCAGATGCCCTTTATTTAGGACTGCTTCATGCAGGAGATTCAGCCTGGGAGAAAGAGACCATGTGGCCAGAGCCTGTGGTCAAAGGGAGAAGTGCTTGGCCTGGGCAGCAAGGGCTGAGGGCTCCTGGCAGCTTCTCATCACCCTCTGGGCAGTTCTCTGCCCCCTCCTCTCTCCCCCCTCTCCCCCTCCCTCACTCATTCATGCGCTTCGTTTTTGCAGCAGCTGCTTCTTCACGACTGGGGCTCTCTAGCGTTGCCTTGGGGTGTGCTTCAGCTGTGGGCTGGCTGCCAGAAGACATTGGGGAGCGGGGCCTGGAGACCTGTCCCTCAGGTTGGAGTGGGACGGAGGGAGTGCAGGCGCTGTGGGAGGGAAGGAGCAGTGGAGAGTGGCACAGGCCAGCCAGTCTTGCTTGGCCCGCTGGAGGAGGAGGAGAACGCCCTGGCTGCACCTGGTGCCCAGCCTCTCTGCTTGACCAGGAAGCGGGAAGAGGAGGGGCTGCCCGTGGCTCAGGAAAGGCCCCAAGACGCCCTTGCCTTGCTGGTGGTGCCCGGCTTGAAAGTCACCCACTGAGAACTCGCCTGCTGGGATCTCTGCCTCCTCACATTTGCAAACGTGGTGCAGCTGTGGGTCAGAGGGCAGGTGGGTGAAAGGGAGAGAGAGAGGAGAATCTGGTACTGGGCCTTCCTCTCACTGGCTGCTCTCTCTGTCTGTTTGGTTGCCCCCTCCTCTCCAATATTAAGCAAGCGACAGCATAATTTTCAGAACCACCTGAAGGGCTAGAACAATTAATAATAGGTTGCTTTTCACCCTTGCACTTGCTGCAGAGGCAAACACTAATATTTGCATATTTTAGCTTTTTCTCCCACAAAGCTGTGATGTTGAAAGAATGATAAAACCCCCTAAGCTGTTTTATTAACCCACAAGATTCAGAAACAAGTGGAGCGAAATCAGTTTGTTTTGAAATTGATTCCAAAGTACATTGTGGTCAAAATCGTATTTGGAGATGCAACAAATCAGATTATTCAGTGGGATAGGCGACCTCTGACCTCATCACACATCCAAAGGACACATTTTACCCTTTTCCTTTAATAATTTTTGTACGATGTATGAATGCTTATTTCTGTTGATAGCTTTTTCCCACTAATTACAGTTTTGATTTGGGATTTCAGGTCATAAAAGGTCTAACATACTTGAGAGAGAAACATAAGATAATGCACAGAGGTAAGAATGCCCCCTTCCTGTTTAAGAATATTCCGAATGCTTTTACATTCCCGTGTCAGTCCCAGGGGTGTAGAACCGCTGGCCCATGGACCGAACCTGGCCCTCCTGGGACCCAGAGAGCCACACCCCCTTCCCCTGGCTATCTCCCCCTTCCTCCCCACTGCCAGCTGTTTGGTAGCTTCCAGGCATTGGTACCCTTGCGATTTTTGGCCTTGTCCTATTTGCCTTTTCCCAAGAACCCCTAGAATGACTGCTTCAAATCAGAGTTCCACTCTCAGATTGAAAGCAGGTTGACCCTCCACCCCACAACCAGGCACAATTTAGCAATAAAACACTGTGTGCATGTTGAGGGCAAACAATATTTATTTTTAGAGCATCTGAGCTTGTTGAAAGTTTGTCAAGCTTCTTTGCTCTTGTCCAGGTTCAGGTGATCTAGAAGCCTAGATACCTGGAGGATACTTTGAAAGATGTTTTTACCTTGAGCATGGTAGCTTGGATAGAGGCTTGCACCTGGGTTCAATTCTTTACTCTGTGATGAAGTTCACTGGCTAATTTTGGAGCTGTGAACATATCTCAGGCCCACCTGATAAGTCAGAGCCATTTGGAGGATAACATGTGAGTGGTAAGGAGGAACAAGTTCTACAGCCTATTTTTTAAAGGTGAGTGTGCAAGTTTTCTATAAAGGGCAGAGGGGAGAGAATTCTCTAAAACTTCCCCCGCATACTGAATCCAACAGGGTTTGACGCAGCAGCAGCATGCAGGCAGCTCGCATTTTCCAAGCAGGGAGTGCTTTGCATCAGCACCTCCTGGCACGGGAAACGAAGCCGTGTAGATGCTGCATGCAACGCCTCGACCACCTCTGCGAGAGATGTGGGGGGGGGTGTGGGGGCCGTCCCGCTTCTCTGGGGGGCCACAAATACACCAGGGAGCAGTGGGAGCGACTTGCTGGTGAGGGAGCAGTGAAGCGCTAGTGCTCTAACCACGCAGTGGCCTGCCTGCGTTTCCCTGGGCTTCCCGGCAGCTGGTCCTGCAGCCACCAAGCACAGGGGTGTTGCCACAGAGGGCTGTGGGGAGCTCAGCAGCAGCCATTGCTAAATGTGGCATCCGGGAAAAGATGCAGGACAAGTGGCTCGTGCAAAACCCGCCGTGGTCCAGAAAACCGCCGCTTTTCCCCTTGCTGCGGTGGCCATTCCGGCAAGAGCTTCCATGTGTTGCGGGCCAGGGGGACTCAGCAAGTGCGGTGCCTCCTCGAGTCCCTCTGGGCATCAAGGGTGAGGTATGGTCGACACCACAGCTGGCCAGCCGCAGGCCCATGTGACCAATGCAGTCCTGCTGGGCTTCCAGCCTGTAAAGCGGCAGCAGCTGATGCATTTGGACCCCTTTCAGCTTCCCAGACCATGGTCACCTGCGCTCCTTTCTGACTCTGGCAGGGCCGGTGGCCTCAGCAGCGCTTGGCCGTCAGGCATCTCAGTGGAGGAGGCCTGGGGGCCTCTGGGACAGCTGTGCTACCCTCTCCGGCCCCCACTACTCCGAGTCGTGCTGCCGAGGCCTGCACTGGGCACCGTAAGAGGCCAGCAGCCACAGACGACAGCAGCCCTCTGGGCCCGTGTTAGCTCCAACATACACAACCAGGGCAGGGCCCAGGGGGGTTAGCCGGCGCCCCAGAAGAGGTGGAGGGAGCTGCTGGCTAGCTCCCCGCCCACCCCCCTTAGCAAGTCGGAACATCTGCAGGGGCCAGAGGGTGAGTGAGCGCACCGAGGCGAGAGCCCCGCGCCACGCGATGGGCCGTAGCTTCACGGCCGTGCTCTGTGCCACCTGCGCGCAGGGATGGGAGGAAGGGCTGGGGCTCCGCGGGAGACACCCGCCTGCTGGCAGAAGGGCCCAGTCCCTGGGCTATCCAGTTTCCAGAGACAGGTTTCTAAAGCCTCTGGCGAGAAGGAACTGCTGGCGCCACGTTCTGAGTCCTCAGCTCTTCACCAGCTTCTGGGGCTCTTGTCCCGGCCCTCGCCACTTCTGCCTGCGCTTCCTGGCAGAATCGATTGCCGAGATGGCAGCCTATTTCGTCAAGCTTAATGCATGGCTAATGACTGGATGAGTGCTTTGGTGCGGAGGGCTGCACTGCGCTTACAGCAGAAAAGATGAAAAGAATTGATTCCAGTGCTTGAGCATTCACAAGCAGCTGACTTTCAGTTGCCTAGTTACCTGCAGCTCTTCATTTAAGGAAGCAGGATTACCTCCATGTGCCTGCCTGTGTGCGTGCACGCGCACGTGTGTGTGTGTGTGTGTGTGTGTGTGTGTGTGTGTGTGTGTGAGAGATAAAGAGACTGTTCACTTGCTGAACATATGAGTGTGACTTGAGTCAAACAGTTGCACATTTCTCCACTGAGCCTTGACCTGTGAAGAGACAGAAGCTGATCCGGTTCCATGAGAAGAATCTGGCTGAGCCAGGCTGACGGGTGGAGCCTTCAGCGAGAGGTTCCGTCTGCAGCAGCATCCTCGGCGATTGGTCCGTGCATGAGGACGAAGATCCTGTTGCTTGCTGGATCTCTTCAGACCAGCTGTTTCATGCTGCAGGACGCACACAAGATGACCGTCTCCCTGGGGTAATCCCAAGGCCGTCTGCTTACAAAGCAGGTGCTGCCTCCCCCACCATGTGGCCTTCCGTCAGGTCCCACCAGTTTGTCCTGCAGGCCTGTTTCCGTGCTCGTCTCTGCTGACTCCGCCCTCCACATGCCGGTCCTGGAGTGTGCCTGCCCTGCTGCCACTGCCCTTTAGACTGCAGGTAGACAGGTCGGGGACTGGTGAGCTGCAGTCTTTCTGCTGGCAAGAGAGAGTTGGGCAGCTACTCACAGAAAGCCACATTTCCATTGATTATGCTTTATTTGTTTCTCAATTCTGATTCCAGGTTTCCTCAAGAGAGCTCAGGTTTATATGATTTCTGCCCCATTATTGATTCACAAGCTTATGAGATCGGTTAGGCAGAGAGAAGGAGGGAGGGAGGGAGGGAGAGAAGGGAGTGGGGGAAGTATGTGAATGTCACTGGCTTAAGGAGATGCTTAGTGACTGAGCAGGGATCTGGACTGTGGGTTCCCTGCTTGGAAATTATTGCAAGATGTGATCTTGGCGGCATTTTAGTTTCGATGAACCCTTTCAGTAAAGGGGCAAAGGTAGCAAGCCTCATCCTTTGGGTGCTGACTGCGCTGTAAAAGAAGTTAATGCAAACGGCAGAGAATTCTTGCATTGACTCCAGTGGGGAAACATTTCTGGAAAAACTGAACTAAGTTGGATATTGAGGTTTTGTTTTTTGAAACGATGCATGCCCATCTGTGGCATCCTGAGCAGAGATTCTTGCCTCACTGCATCTGCCGAAGTGGATGGTCTGTAAAAATGTATGCCAACAGCGTGCCATATGGAGGGGCTCCTGGGCTTTGAATGTGGGAGGCTGCCTTGGACCGAGCTGCCCTGGCCCAGCCTGCTCAGCGATGCTGGCGATTGCCTCTGGGCCCGCTGTGTGCTCTGGGAGGAGACGTGCCCACGTGGGAGGTGCCAAGCTCAGCTCCCGGTGGCATTCTCAGAAGAACAGCCTTTCACGGCCTGAGGCCGTACGGCGTTTCTGCCAGGTAGACCAGCCCTTGCCAAGCTGCGCTTCCAGATGTGCTGGGCCACACCATCCTGAGCTAGCAGCCACGGGTTGTAATCCAACTCATCTGGACGGCCGGTAGGGTTGGGTTTTGCCTAAGCAGCGCCAAGCGATGATGACCTTCAAGGCGTTGCAGCGTTCTCACAACTGTGTTGCTTTGGATTTGAGGAGCGGGGTTCCTTTCACCCTTTAGGACCATCCGCAAGGTCCCTGTTGTGTTATCGAGCATGTTTGAAATGGAACATGCTGGGATGGTATATGAACCCCACCAGGTGGCTTGCTCAATTATACCCTCTCCAACAATGTTTTTGGTCTGCAATAAAAATGCAGAGCACACACAATGCCAAAAAATTTGAAGATGTGGGGTGTCAGAATCCCTTCTAGCTTTTGTATGAGGCATGTGACCCCCCCCCCCCACTGGAAGGCTAATCTGTGCTAATACTACAGAGAAATGAAGAGTAAGGAAGCCTTTGCACTCGACTTGTTGCTCCTGCCTCCCATCTCCTCATTTTATTTTAATATGTAATATGTGTTTTGGATGGGCTCTGCTAGCGGAGTGGTGAGGAGGTTGCTGACGTTTGGCTGATAACACAGTGAACTTTCTACTTCCCCAAAAGCAAGACGGTTTCTTAAAGGCCTGCCAAGGCCCCCTGGCCTACAGCTTGTCAGGATAGCAGCCTTGAAGCTGCCTTCCCTAATCCTTCTGGCGATAAGGACTGTTTTTGCTGTGAGAATGGAACTCTCTGCCTTGCTGAAGCTGTTTCACTCCCAGGAAGGTTGAGGGAGAGGATGAGGCGGCGCCTGTGTGCATCCTGACAGACTCTTCAGTAGTAAGAGAGAGGAAATTATAAAATCCACAGTGAGAGGGGTTGTCTTTTTTTCTGGGCTTGGGGGATGGAACTAATGTGTTGCTCATTACCAGGCCTGCTCAGGGGACAGGTATGGCCACCAGTAAGGAGAGTGTGAGCTTTCTTTGGTTTGCCTATATTGCCCAGAGTATGGCCTGAAGGCACCAAGCCACCCACCCTGTCGAAGCAGAGCAGTCTGGGGCTGGTCTTGAGCTTGGGGGAGACCACCTGGGAACCGAATGGGGCCACCTTGAGTTACACAATGGGAGAAAGGCAGGATATAAATATAAATAAATATATTCTGCACTGTATTTGGTAAATTGTATATCATCTTTGACATGGGCAGTTTTGTTTCTTCCTAAGTATCCTCAGATCTAAAATGAGATACCCTGGCTGAGCCATCGTCAAAGATAGAACGGCACAGGAGAAGTAAACAATTGTATCTTGTCCATTCGCCTTTCTTTTTTCCAGATGTTAAGCCATCCAACATTCTGGTTAACTCCAGAGGGGAGATCAAGCTTTGTGATTTTGGTGTCAGTGGACAGCTGATAGATTCAATGGCAAACTCCTTTGTGGGAACAAGGTCCTACATGTCTGTAAGTACGGAGGGTAAAACTGGAACAGTCCAACTAATACGTGATGAAGTGCCTATGCAAAGCACAGTTCAGGAGTGTGTGTAAGGACAAGCCTTACACAGATGTTTACCGAGTGACGAGTGCGCATTCATGTGGCTTGCAGTCGAGTGCATGTTTAAGCTACACAGAAGAGCTGCGGTTGGATGTTGTGATGGATGTTGTGATGGATGCTGCTGGGGCTGGACCCCGCCAGGACTGGAGGTTCTCTGAAGAGCAGTTGCGGTGAGGGGTGGAAGAGGGAAAACCCCGTTCAGACTGGACAGTAACCCCAGTCCCACAGACTGCCAGTTTTGGTGCTTCCATTTGTAAAGATTTTCTTTTCTCTTTTTTTCCTTTTTGGTCACTTTGTGCATGTAGCCTGAAAGACTACAAGGGACCCACTATTCAGTGCAGTCAGACATCTGGAGCATGGGGCTTTCGCTGGTGGAAATGGCCATCGGCAGGTACCCAATCCCACCACCGGATTCGAAGGAGCTGGAGCTCATGTTTGGGTGCTCCGTAGGGGGCGATTCTCCCATCTCTGAGACATCACCCCGCCAGAGAACACCAGGACGGCCAGTGAGCGGTAAGAGTCTCACCTCGTGCGGCCCGTGTGGGAGGGCTGAAAAGCGACATTCTTGAGCTCAGTTGGGCAGGGTGTGGAGCAAGCAAGCTCTGGGGATTTTGGTAGTCATTTGATAATGGCAACAAAGAATTTTGGCATACTCGGTACTCGGCCGTGCCCTGTCTGTGTCATTTTTATGTAAAATTTCCCGCATTTATAGCAGTCTTCCATGCTTCATGCCCAACCCTGCCCATCTATAAGGGAGCAGCAAGTCCAGCAAAGGCCTGGATGTACGCACAGCCTTCTCCGCAAGACGCGTCCTTCTCAGCATGGTCCCTCTTGGCAGTGGAGGTGGGGAGAAGCCTCCTCGGGCCACGTGTCTGTGAACAGGGTGCCTAAGAGGCGTGGTGTACTCCACATCTCTTTAAAGAAGGTTGGCACCTCACTCAGAACACAAGGGGAAACTCTTTCACAGACACCCCGTTTGTGTGCACAGGGCGCAAAGAAACCTTCTTGAGGCAGTCGAGTATGCTGGATTGCTCAGCACCACTCCTGGCATGATGTGGCCTCCAAAGCCCAGGCAGCCAAAACCGCAGAAGCATCTCCTTGAGAGAAGCTAAGAGAGGAGATGACGGGAAGGGGTGTTTCTGCATCTGTAGCTGCTTCTTTGGGCGGAGTTACTCTCTCACAGTCCTGACCACTTCCTGTTGCACAAGCACCTCGCTTGAACAAGGGCAGCAGTATTGCCGGATATTGCCCAATGTCCCAAGCAGACATCGCACACTGAATCTTTTTTGTCAGTAAAAGAATGAATGGATGGCAAATGCTCTGAATTCATTTCATAGACATTTCTTACGCAATTAGTTTCTGGCCTTTAATATTGCTATCTATCTATCTATCTATCTATCTATCTATCTATCTATCTATCTAAAGCTTTTATAGAGCATCTCATTACTAGCATCTCGGGATGGTTTACAACAAGCACAGATAAAAAATGGCACAGCATCCAGCAATTCACAATAAAATCACAATTAAAACCAATTAAACATATTTCAAGTTACCGTTAAGAGATGATTTGGGGGGTAATACAATTTACTGGAAAAGTTTGTTTGTTTAAAGCTTTTATATACCACCCCTTCACTAAAAAGTCCCAGGACAGTAGTACAATGAAATAAAAGTACAGCATCAGAGGACAAAATTCAAATAAAACCCCATCTTAAAACATTTTAACACTTAAAATATTGGGAAAATAAAAAGTTACAAGCAAACCGAAAAGGTGCGAACCAGACTGAGTCACCTGTTAATACCCTTGTCTTTTTAGCCCACGGTTCAGACAGCAGACCACCGATGGCCATCTTTGAACTGCTCGACTATATTGTAAACGAGGTAAGCCAGCCCTGCGGCTCCCTGACATGCTTGTTGGCTTTGTGAATTTTCAGGAAGGAATGAACATACTGAAGGCATATAAGGGGATCAAGAGCAGGGGTCTTCACCTGGCCCCAGGCACTGTCCTTGAGGCAGAGCTTTCCAAAATTTAGCTTTTCTTCTTGTGCCAGTCCCCCTCTGTGCAAATTGTGGAAGATTTTACCTACCTCAGCTCAGTCAGCAATTCAAGTGGAGGCTGCAGCCAGGAAATCAGAAGCTGAGCCTTGGAAGGGTAGCAGTGAAGGAACTGAAAGAGATAATCAAGTGTAAGGATATTTCACAGGAGACCTATGCCAAGATCTTCTGTGGTATGGTATTTTCGATCATTATGTATGGGGGTGAGAGATGCATTTGATCAGCTCAAAATACGGCACGGGAGGAGAAGTTTGGGAATACTCTGGGCTGACTAACAAGTGTGTCCTGGATCAAATCAAGCCTGCGCTTTCCCTGGAAGCAAAACCGCAGTTGTCCTACTTCGTGCATGTCATGAGAACGCTCCCTGGCGAAGACAAACATGCTGGGGAAAATGGAAGGCAGAAGGGAAGCAAGACCAAGCGTGAGACAGATCAAATCCATCAGCGAAGCTACAGCCTTGGGATTGCTGAGCAGGACATTTTGGAGGGCTGCCACGACTCGGAGCTGACCTGACAGGGCATATAACAGCAGCAACCCTGCCAGTAGCCAAGCTGTGCCACCTTGGCGGCACGTGTGCTTCCTGAGTAGTGCTTTGGGACCCAACTCGCGCAAGCGGGTGAGGCGAACCGGGTGGGGAGCTTCTTCCCGTGGACAGTAGCCCATTACCTTACGTGGTCCTGGAGGAGTCTCATCCCTAGCCAGAGAAGCCCCGGCTGTACCCCTCTGCAGCCTCTTCCATCTTATGCACACCCACTTCAGCCGTGGTGATCCTGCACTTCCTTCTGGAAAGGAGGGGAAATGGGTCACATTCCTGTGCAGGAAACCCACAGCAGGCAGCGTGCCAGTGCGGAAGGGGCCCGCACGAAAAGAAGTGGGAGCTCTGTCTGGGGGGCACAGGGAAGCAGGCCAGGGAGATGCAGCAGGCCAAAGGGGAGGTGCCCAAGGCCCGCTTCCCCAGCCCACTCTGAAGAGGCAGTGTGTACACATGCGCTGATGATCCGTATGACTCTGTTTGCTTTACAAGTAAAACCATTTTTAAAACCTCAGGCAGCAGCAACATAGTTGCAAAAGCTGTTTCTATAGCAGCCTCAAAACTGCTTCTCCATCTCAAAAGTGAGTTCACACGGGTGTTTAAAAGGAGTTCTGGAATGAAATGGTCTGTAGCCCTTGCAAAATGCCACGTTCCCTCCAATGCAGCATGTACTGGCACACCCAGATTTTTCTCCACCATGGAGTCCTATGCATATTAAAAACCACGTCCCTAACTTGCATTGTCTGTACGGTATTGTCAGCCTGAAGTGTATATATAACAGTGCAAACTGCAAGTATCAAGGATTGCGTTGGGCACAACAGTTGTTCCACTTGTTCTGACATTTGTGCAATGTTGTTTTCAGCCCCCTCCAAAGCTTCCCAGTGGGGTCTTCAGTCCAGAGTTCCAGGACTTCGTGAACAAATGGTGAGATGAGTTCATGAATGCATTGTTTGTAAAGGAGCCCCGCTCCGCCCTGCCCTGCTTTTAAGTGCCCTAATTAAAATTGTGCCTTTAGGGGTTGCTTTGTTTGTTTTGGGGGGAGCAAAGGGCTTTGGCCAGGCTGGGCCAAGGCATGTCTGAGCTTTGCACCTCTTGCTGCAAAATGGCAGCCCTTTTCCTTTCCCATCAATTTAGCATATAGTGCAACCTGGGTGGGGTGCGGAGAGTTCTTCTGCAATAACCCAAATAACCAGGAACCATGAAGAATGGCCAGCCACAGCCAGGCCCACTGCTAAAGACACGGGTGGGCTGAGGGGCCAATGGCACTATCAGGTTTTGAGGGGAAAACCAAATAGTGACAGGAATGTGACAGTCTTCCTTTTTATACAGCCTGATCAAGAATCCTGCAGAGAGGGCAGATCTGAAGCAGCTTATGGTGAGTGGAACGTTAATTTCTCTCTCAAAGTATTCTCAGTCCTTCTGAGAGTCCTGCTGCCTGCTTCCGTTCTCTAGCTGCTGAGGCAGAAATCCTGGTGTCAAAGTCAGCTTTCTCCTAAACTGGTCTGGGCTGAAAAGGGAGAATTCATTTTGCTGCCCAAGGACGATCCCTGCTCAATCCGCAGCCACCCGCAGCTTGCCTCAGGAGGCGGCCCGTGGTTTGGAACGGGGCTCCCTTGCGTGTCACTTCTTTGATTTCCTGCAGGTCCACATGTTCATTAAGAGATCAGAGGCAGAAGAGGTGGATTTTGCAGGCTGGCTGTGCTCCACCATTGGCCTCAACCAGCCCAGCACCCCAACCCATGCCGGAGGAGTCTGAACACCCGAGAGCGATGCCAGATTCACTGAGCGTTGTACGTCTTCATCCCGAGCGAGGCCTGACTAGGAGCCCACCCAAGACCCTCTGAAACAAACTGGAATGGTGCTTGGTGGATTTGTAGCCCAACTCACCTCCCATCCAGCTGTCTAAAGCAATGCTCTTTTGGTCCTGTTTTTTCACAGCTTCCGTCTACCAGAAAGTGTATCCCCACCCCACCCCTCCTTAAAAACGATGTCTCCCTACTTTGCATGCGCCAAGTTATTTTCCAGGTCCATTTCTTTTTCTCCCTGTGGTTCTAAATTAACAGCTGTTGTGTTTGATTACTTATTTGCTAACTGACCAACATGTGATACTTTAAGTTAGTGATCCGCAAATTTGGAGTGAATGTTGGATACCCTTTCACAAGGGGAAATCCTGCCAGAGCTGCTGCCGCCTTCCCACTTGTTAGCTTGGTCTGAACCTTTTGCAACTTGGTGGTACGTCACAATTTGTTTAGCCAGTCTTGGTTAGGGATGCTGTGAGTAAACCTCTCCTAAGCATGTATTGCTGCTGCTAAGCTGAGACTGAAACTATGAACAACTGTTTGCTCTTTGTGCAACGAACTCTCGATAGATGTGAGCAAAGACCGCATCCTGAACTGCCAGCCCTCTTTTCCCCACACCCCAGCAACATAAATGTGTTGGCACTTCTATTTATTTTTAAGTGTCTCATTGGATACTTGGGGATTGCATCGTGGTGGATATCTCCCTCCCAGTTAATTTGGTATTTGTATTTGAAAGGGATGGAAAGAAAACTATCCCTCAGACAGAATCAAAGGATTGTGTTTGGGGCTTTTTAAAAGGAGAAACGCATCCAAGTTGCTTTCCTTCTAGATCCACTGAAGTTTGATATGACAAATTGTGCATACTTTGTGTTTGAAAATTCTTTTAATCATTTTATTCTTTCAGATGTTGAGCAATTTCATCTTACACTAATAAATACATCATGAAGTTACATCAGGGAACTGATGTTGTTTAAATATTAATTGATGTGCAGTGGCTGGCAAGAAAGCTCTTAAAACAAGGTTGCAACTCTAGTTCTAACCTTCAGATCTGTGCGCCATCTCCTGAATGGGCTCCCCCTCAACTGACAGCTGCAGTTACTTTCTCTACTGCTAGACCAGTGTCAGAAACTTGGCAGGTTTGTATAGTCACCCACCTGAGCTGAATCCCACCCCTTTGGCACCCCTTAAGGTCATCATGGCTAACGTTCATCGATGCTTGGAAGTTTACCATACTGCAAACCAGGATGCGCAGTCTGAAAGAGACTCACAGACTTGCTCATCAGAAGCTCCCCAGCAAATTCTCAGTGTCAATAAGCCCACTTTCTTGCTGGTCCTGCCTGCAGTTGGGAAGAGGGAGAGCAGGGATCAGCAGTTGAGGTCAGACAGCATGGAAGGAATCAGCCAGGAGTATCACAAACTGACAAACTTGCTTTAACAAAAAGCAAGAGGGCTGTAAGTTGCAGTGCTGAAGCGGAAGTCGCAACACAGCAGGGGTAAAAGCACCAAGCAGGTGTGCTTGGGAGACACGCTCTCCCCGGCAGTGATGGGAACGACCATGACTGTCACGGCGGCAGCCATGCAGCCCTCGCCCTCGGCTGCCTTCCAAGAGGAGGCTTGCTCTGGACCCTGAGCACACCCCTTATCCTGAAACGGCTTCGCTGGGAAGACAGCACCTCGCTTCAGTAAAGCGTGCGCCAGCTAACAAAAAGTGGAGAGAGGAGGATACCGGGGCACAGCGATGCATGACCAGAAGTTCCCTCTCCTAGCTGTATGTGTGTGTCATCTTTGCTAAATGTAATCTTGGCCCTGAAGGGCCAAAATTCAATACAATCACAAGTATTCAAAAAACCAGACACTGACACAACCTAGAACTGAAAATGTTTCCTGTTACTAAATGTAGACAATTCGTGAAATGTTGAACCTAATACAATAACCCCCAAATGGTTAGAATTTAGGGGTATTGTATATATAGTCAGTGGGTTTTGTTTTTAATGCAGTAGCACGAAAGAAGTACATGCAAAGAACTGTGAGCTAGCCTCCTTTTGTAAACTTGTTTACCCTGATGAGATTTGAGAGTGCCACCCTCCTGAAATTAGTCATTTTCCAACCATTTTTACCAGTAGTAGAAGCTTCAAAGAGAAGATTATTGCTTTGAGAGTTGTGTGTTGCACCTCCCAAATGCTACTCGGTTCAAAGTAATCGTGCTACATAGTTATGCATTGACATTGACTCACTCATACCAACAGTTTATCCCCATCTCTGGAAGCCTTTGGGAAACCTGGTTGCATTTGTGAATGTAGTTGGGTCTTATAGCACCAAGCAAAGTCTGAGTAAATATTTTCCTTGAAAGACGGTCACAGAGGTTCCTGAGTCTGGGATAAAAAGGCTGTCAGGCTGCATGCTCCACACTAGGAATCGGATTCCTCCTCCTCCTCCTCCTCCTCCTCCCTGATGTGCATCTGTAACTGCAGTTTCGTTTGATTGATAGCTGCTTCATTGTCCATCTGTCCAGGGGTTTAGGATACAAAAAGCAAAAACCTGGTTAGTTCCGGCTAAGAAACACAAACAACAGTGCCTTCTACTCGAAGGTAGAAACTTGCATAACCCCGGTCTCCTTTCTTTCTCATCCAGGCACTGAGAAACTGTACATGTGCAATGCTACAGATGATAGGAAGGCAATAGTTTTTTTTCCTACCAGTCGCCAGAAAATGAGCATTAAAAGGATTCACTGGTCAAGGTATCATGCACCTTCTCCTTAGGCTCGGAAGGCTCTGTCTCACTTTACAACCAGGCATGAGCGCCGCCTTTCTCGCAACAGAACAGAAAATGCCTTACATTTTGATGTTCCTCTGTTACAGCAGTGGAAGGCACAGCAGTGTTCCCTTCCCTGGCGTTGATCATGGACTGAAGGGCCAGCTCCTCCACCTAGAAACAGTTTGCAATGGTCAGTCTTGAAAGAAAGCCAAGCGGCATATTAGTGATCCTTTAACCTAGCACAGAGGTTTGCAACCAGCTGCCTTCTAGGTGTTTTGGACCACAGCTCTCACAATCCTTGACCATTTTTCTTACAGGAGTTCTAGTCCAAAAGATCTGGGTACCAGCTGGTCTCATCCAGGTCACCCAAAGTCTAGAAACGCTAGTGTTTGGAGAGTCGGCAAAATTTAGCAGCTCGGAAAAAAGTCATTCTATAGGCCCATAGTAGGATAAATGATGCAATTTTCTATGCCAAGTCTTTATTCAGTAAAGGTATCCAAGCTCTTGCTAGCATCAGAACCAGTGGTAACAGCTTCTTGGAAATGCATGGCTATTTAATATACTCACGGGTTGTTATATGGAACGACAAAAGCAACAGATGGGTTCCCATGAAGCACTGGTCGAAAGAAAGTGCTTGGACTGCGGTTTAAGTGGGAGTACAGGAAGCCAGGTAGCCATAATCAAAACAAAAATGAGTTTCCTCAGAACCCATCTAGTTTCAACATGCACAAACTTACAGGAAGTCTTCCCTTTGCAAACCCCATCCAAATGAACAGCAAATTACAGACACAGATTTTTAAGATTACCATACCATGTGGTCTAGAAATTCATTTTTGTGTTGATGCTTTTTTTTGCTTAAATGAAAGCTGACAGTCTAAAAGAAAACATGAATCTAAGCTTCTGAAGTATACTTGAAGACACTGAAAATGCATGCCGCTCTGTTTCTAGCTATCCAAACAGCTCCAAGCAATCCGCACATGCCAGAAAGCTCAATTCTAATCCCTTCCGGAAAGCACGTCCCCTGCGTCTCTATTTATAATGCTGCCCCTTTGTATGTGCAGATCTCTCCCTCTCCACACCAGTTTTGGCACCCTGTGGCACTCTGCTGACAGCTGTACTAATATTCGCAAAACCTTCTGGCATTTAAACAAACAATGCAGGCAAGAACTTGGTGTGGGGGTAGTTGAGCTCTTTTCTAGCTGGAAGAAGCACAGGAAGAAGTTAACTGTTTAACTGTCACACAAACCAGTTGGCCAATGGACCTGCAACTTTCCATTTGGATGGTTTTGCCTTGAAAAAACTATAACGTAAATAGTGTGGGCCTAGGTAGCTCAAAGGTTGCATGAAAGTAAGTGGCCACACTTGGCTTTGTAAAGTTAGGTGAATTGATGTTAAGGATTTACAGCACGCCTCCCTCCGCATGGAATTTTCTCTGGGGCAGGCTCAGGATGAATCTTGCAGTTGCTGTTTTTCTATCTTAGGAGCCTTGTGAGAGGCAGAAAGGCAGGATATACACATTGCAATACCCAATTTATGATGAATGCTAATAACATTTTATGACATGATTATCTTTTAATGCCAAGATTGTGTAGCGAATCATCTAGCGGCCATAATATTTGCACAAGGTCTACAAAATGAGAATTTTTTTTTAAAGTTTAGAGAGGAACCTCTTTAAATACAATCAACATTGTGCAACCTAGGATAATTCATGTACTTTCAGCCTCACTCCTCTGTCTGTCAAATGGGAATACCAGGAGCAAGGAGCAATTGGAGCATAAAGACATTTGTGGACAACAGCTGAACAGAAGTAATTTTGCGGAACAGCTCTGTAACATTAGGAAGCAGGTGTATTACTGGGAAGAGGAAGTGGATCTGGATGAAAACCACAGAAAGACGAGAGTGATTCTTACTTGCTCGTATGGTGAGGTACATTACGTAAGTCTGAACCACATAAGATGGGTTTGCAGAAAGAATAAACAGCCTGGCTGGGCAGACCCAAGAAATCCCTCCAGCCCAAGAATGGCAGCTCTGGCACTGGCAGGTAGCCCACACCTCAATACGGAGATTTTAAAGAACACATCCGTTGAGACCTGGGCGGCATCTGCTCTTAGGTGTGCTTGCAGGCCGGGTCTTAACCGAGCCCTGGCTGGCGGTGGGGAGAAGGCCTATGCTAGCCCGTCCCCAGAGCACTGAGCTGGGGCCGCCCCATCTATTGGAAGCCGGGGATCTGCCTGCAAGGCGGCAAGAGCAGCTCCGTGCTCCTGAGCGCAGAAAGCGCCCTTGACCCGGGTCGGGCCCCAAGAGGCAGGCAGCCCCCAAGGCGAGGAGGGCCGGGCCGGGCCGGGCCGGGCGCCTGCCAGCCGAGGCTAGCTAGCGCGGCACCCCCAAGCCTCGCCTAGCTTCCCCCGAGAAGGCAGACCCGTCGTCCGCTGCCTGCAGAAGATGCGCCCTGCCCAGGATCCGGCGGCCCTTCTGCGAAGCTCGGCCGTCCCTCTTTCCACATGGGGCAAAGGGCCGCGGCGGGGCTGCAACTCCCACCATCCTCAGACCGCAGGACTTCACCAGGGCCGTGCAGGGCACGCTCGGCCGCAGTCTGTCCCCAGCAAGGTGCGCCTTCAGCTCCTAGCACCCCCAGCCGGATGCGGATGATGGGAGTTGCAACCCCACGCCTCTGCAGTTCGCGCCAGCGAAGACGTGCGGGCGGGCCCGCGAACCACGACACCTAAGGGCAGCGCCGGCCCCCGCTCATTAGCATACGTCGAGGAGACCCCTCCCCGCAGCCATGGAGACGGAGAGGCGACTCGCGGCCCAGGGAGGCCCGCCCGCGCGAGCCAGCGAGCGAGCGAGCCAGCCTCCGGTCCCGCTCCTCCCCACTTCGCGCGGCCCCGCGTCGGACCTTGAGGCGGTTGAGCTGGTCGTGCAGCGCCGCCTTGACCCGCAGCAGCGTCTCCTCCTCCTTGCGCAGCTCCTGCAGGCGGCTCAGCATCCTGCTCCCGCCCCGCCTCCGGCCGCGCGGAGTGATGACGAGCCCGACGGCAGCGACCAGAGCGGCGGCGACCCGCGCGCGAGGGGGAAGGCGCTCAGGCAAGCGGGTGGAGCCATCTTGCTTGAGGGCGGGAGTGGGGCAGCTTCCCTCCGGCGGGGTCGAAGTCTCGAGAAGCCTCCCACTCATTGGAGGCTCGTCTCTGACGCACGAGGGGCGCGCCGGCGGGGTTTCCCATTTTTCACGACGCGGGGGCGGCGGTGAAAAGGAACACGCGTGTCGGCTGGCCCCAGGCGGCCGCCTAGGCGCGCTGTCCCCGTTCGGAATTGTGGAGTCAGTGGGAGGCCGTTTTACGTGCTCGGCGGAGCGCGGGCGGAAGGACGCGACCGCGCCGCTGCCCCCGCCCTGCCGGGTAAAATGGCGCGGCCCAGCCGGCCGCCTCGTGGCGCTGGGAGCGCGGGTGGGGCGGCGGCGGCGGCGGCGGCGGAAGAAGGGCCCCCGGCGGGCCACGTGCCTCCCGGACAGCCCCGCTTGCGGCACAAGCTCGGGCTGGCAGCGCGACTACGGGCCTCGGTGCAGCGTCCACGTGCTGGCGACCCCTGGTCTGGAGCGCTGCCACTGCTGCACAGGGGGCGCCCTTGGAAGTGACCCGGAATCTCCAGCTGGTTAGTTGTGATATTTATATGCCATCCTATTGCAAAAGCCTCAGAACGGCTTACAATGAATTTATACCGATATTTGTATTTTATTATGTAACTAGGTATCAACCACATAAACAAATCGACCCACTCTGGCTGCAGTTAAAAATATATTAAAAATACCATATTAAAACTTATTAAAATATTGATGAAATAAAAGGTCTTAACCTGGCACCAAAAAACATATGACGGCACCAGGTGGACCTCTGGGGAGCGCATTCCATAGATGGGGCACCACCACAGAGGAGGCCCTCTTCGGGGTGCTCTGCCTCCTATTATCTTTCACAGAGGGTTCCCGGAGGAGGGCTTCTGCTACCAATCTCAGGGGCAGGAGGGCAAATAGGGAAGAAGGCGTTCCTTTAGAAGTTTCTCTACCCCATCACCATTAGAGAGATCCAAAACAGGGCAGCAAGATCGTGAACAGAGGCTGGCCAGCTATCACGCCAGTTTGGCTGCCAGCAGTAGACCAGACACAATGCTCATACTAATGCTCAAAGGCCTAAACAGCCTGGGGGCAGGTATGGGAAGGACCCCTTTGTCCCATATCCATCTTCAGCAGTCTCTGCAGGAGCAAAGGAAGCGGCTAGCTTGGTATTCCTTTCAGCCTTAGGTGAATATCTCCATTTTCCCCAGTATCTTAAAAAATTAAGATACTATTAACTTTTGCTTTTATATATTCCATTTTACTCTGTATCACTGTCTGCTTCTATGCTGACACACAGCAATTGCTATTTCAGGTTTATTCCTTTAATTGTGTGTTTTAAATGTTTAATTTTGACTTGTTAACTGCCCAGACAGCTCTAGCTATAAAAATACAAGAAAGAAAGAGCATCAAATAACACCATCCTAAATCAATTCTTTTTTATTAACTGTAATGGAAGTTACAGTGTAATAATGCATGAGAAGCACCTGACATGCCAAATCTTGCATAATTTACGCTTTACTTTCAGTCTTTACAGCTGCAGCCTGGACCTTTGCTTTCCCCTTCGCCACCTTCTCTTCTCTGAGCTTGTGCTGTAGAAAAAACACAAGACCATTTAGTCCTTATTGTTTCAAGTAACCAAGTAATCATGTCAAGCGAGTACGCGGTCCACTCACGTTCTGAGCATGGCGCAGAATGGTATTGCGTCTCAGAGTCTTGGCATATGGATTCAATTTAATCATAACTCTCAAATTTTTCAGTGGATTCTTCTTAAGAACTCTGCGGTGAATCTTTTTCCTGCAGAGGATTGAGTGAATATACCTATGTAAATACATCTGTCATCTCACACATATCAGACCCTTAGCATATGTAAAGAAATCACAACCAGCAAATATTGATACATACATATTTCATTAAGACATCATATCTGAGCAAACACTTTTAAAACTGAAATTGTAAGAATGACACCACTACAATTCTGCCATCCCCTTTCTCCCAAAAGCCTGGTTGTCTCACGGAGGAACACCCCCCTGAAGATTTAAGAATGCTTACTTTGGTGCACGCAGGGCCTTTTGGATCTCCTGGCTTTTCAGGATCCTTCCAAGATCGGTATTGGTCATCTTGTGCATAGGCAGGCTGCATTTGAACACAGTCAAGTTACAGTGCAGGGAATGCATCTACTCTCTCAAGCGACACACTGTGTTTTTCACGCAAGGACCGTCTATTTTATCTCATCTTCTGTTCAAATGGACCAAACACCACCCAACCTCCATTTAGAGAGGGAGATCACGGATGGGGCAGAGCTTCTGCCCACAAACACCCCCTGCCTGAGTCACATAGATCACCATTCTAGCAGGACCTCCCAGCAGGTCACACAGAAGCAATCCAGTTTATTGGCAGGTGGTAGCGAGGAGAAATCTCTAGTCAAAGGCCAGGCCAAAGCAACCCCAGCCCAAGTCTAAAATAAGCTTACTTGTAGTCACTCTTCAGGGTGGCTGGCTTACGCCAGGTGCCGTACAAATCATCCAACTTGCGGAAAGCACTTTCAGTCCAAATGCAGAAACGTCCAACGTGGCCACCAGGAGCAAGTTTCAAAAGGTTCAACTTGTTGACATCGAGAAGAGTAATTCCTATCAAATAAGACATTCACTTACATATGAATAACCACACCTCCTACAATGAATAGGTGTCAGTATGTTGGAACTGCAAAGTATTAAGATACAACTCCAAAGGAAATCCTTTTCAAAGATGCACCCATCTGGTTAGTTTATCAGAACTTCCACCAAATCATGTCTTTCAGAAACACGGACCAATGAAGTGGAATCTCATCATTTTCAGAACTTCTTTTGCCCAGAGCCACAAAGATTATGTATCTTGTACAGTAACTCAAAACTACCTGGGATATTCCTGAAAGCTTTTATGATGCCATTGTCCTCATTGTAGATGATGCAGGGTCCCCTGCGCTGGATGCGGCGGCGGTTCCTCATTTTACCCTTACCCGCACGCATACGCTGAGAGGCATAGACCTGCAAAGAACATCGTGGGTCAGCCACCAAGCATATCAACACTTTCAGGAGCAAAAAACATGCTCCTGCAACTCAGCACTTCACCGTCACCACTGTTCATCTGAAACACGGACCAGTGAAATATTCATCATTTTGCAAGCAACAGAACTAGGGTACGTACTTAGATGTACTTAAAGGATGAGCTTTCCAAATGAAAGCAATTATTTTATCAATACACACATACAACCCAGTTCCCCCTTGTTTTGCAATTAATGCTCAATTCACCTTTTTGATATCATTCCAGGCTTTCAGTTTCTTAAGCAGCAAGACGGCTTCCTTCGTTTTTTTGTAGCCCTCGACTTTGTCTTCAACTACCAGAGGAAGCTCTGGAATCTCCTCAATGCGGTGGCCTGGTGAATAGAAAATTTGGCATTCAGCTACACACCTATTGTGATGGCAAAATGATTTTTTTTTTTGGCTCATAAATGAAACCAGACAAATAGGAGCAACAAACTAAACAAATACGGCAATTAACCTAGAAGCGTATTTGGAACACCCTCCCTGCAGGAAGCCTACTTTGGAAGTACATTAAGCTGCTCTTCAGACACGCTAGTCAGATACCGTCTCTTCTCTAGAATTCTGGGATAGAACCACCAACTATCCCACAGCTAGTTTTGCCACATTTAGTTTGCCGATTAAGGGATGCACACAATCAACATACTTGCCTTTAGACATAACAAGCGCAGGAAGGGCCGAGGCTGCCAGTGCAGAGCAGGTGGCATAGCGCTTCTGAGTAATGTTCACCCTGCGATGCCATCGTCGCCAAGTCTTGGTTGGGGCAAACATGCGTCCTCCACGACACATCTAGAAATCCAGCGTTAAGGATGGAACCAGAAGGTCTCCTGTGGAAGCCCCTCCTTTCATCCTTGCTCAGAGTTAGTTGGTCATCAGCCTTCTGCAACAGCCTTGTGACAGCAGGCAACTGTCGCTGAGTGCAGAGTAAGGCGCAAATTACGGCATCACAGCAAGTATCTCTCTCCAAGCACCAAAGCAGTGCCCCAGATGATAAGCTTAGTGGGTGGGGGTCAAAGTCGAAAGGGACTGTGAGGAAATCTGAAGAAATCTCTCCAAGCTGGGAGAATGGGCATCAGAATATCAAATGCAGTTCAGTGCAAGCAAAGAAAGTAATGCGTGTTGGAGTAAAAAAAAAAAAAACTTCAAGTATGGGCAAGAAAGGGCTCTTGGCATGGCGATGGGCAGCTCAATGAAAATGCTGGCCAAGTGTGCGACAACTGGGAAGACGTGAACTTCATGCAGGCACAACTAGGGAGCGAACTGAAAACAGACTTGCCGAAACTGTGCTTTCCGTATATGTATCTTTGATGCAACTGCACAGTCCTGGTTGCCTTGCCCCAGAAAGGATGCAGTTGAGTAGGAAAAAGGGCAACTGAAATGAGGAAGGAGCTGGAGCAACTGCCCTGTAAGGCAGCGACTTCTCCTGGGATGGTTTAGCTTAAAAAAGGGCAAGGGGAGGCGTGAGATTTGGATGGCGTCCAAAGAAGCCATCCAAATTCATGGAGAAGGCGACTGTTGAGGCGCACTAGCCTTGCCTCGCCCGCTGTGGGCTGCCTCCGTTGCCTCAGTCAGCGGGCCTGCTTGTTGGGAGCCTGGGCAGGTGGAATTCCTGTAAGCATCCTGCTTGAGGGATCCCATGGCCAGCACGTGAAGGGAGTGCTGGACTGGATGGACCACTGGTTTGACCCAGCATGGCTTTTCATCTATTCTTGTGCAAGGCATCCAGTTCTTGACCATTAAAGCTGGCGCTTCTGCACAGACTACAGTGCTGCTATAACAGGATTATGAAGATCTTAAGGCATACTATCACCATAAAATATTACTGCGAGTGCGAATATTGCATTTACACTGCAAGGGGCCATTATTTCACTCAAGTAGTTTAGTGCTTCAAAAAGGGCACCCAGAATGAAGGATACATTGCCAAAAGCACCCTGGCCAGATCGATGAGTTCCACCCCCACGGACCCTTGGGATACGAGCAACAGCTCTTCCTGTACCCCAAGATTCAGCACTTGTCTGATGCCCTGAAGAACAAAAGCACACAATTAAATTACTAAGTACCAATCACATGTTCGAGGCCATTTCCCTGACAATGTAATAGCCCGTATCAGAACTTCCACTGATATCACAGTACTCAAAAACACGGACCAATGAAGTGGAGTTTCATCATTTCAAAAGGCTCTCTGCTGCAGAAGCTCGTTCTCACCGTGTCAGGAGCTGTGCGAAACTGTGCACCTCACATGGACACCTAAATGCAGAGTCCCACAGTATCTGGACTGCCCTGTTACAGTTTTATTGCGTATCATCGCACACGCCGAACAAATATGCAGTCATCTAAATAACTTGCATCACCAGTACTCCCTTGCTACTATTAAATCATCAACCCCAAGGAAAGAGCAGCAGCACTGTTACGAATTTCACCTGCAAGCTCGCTGACAGCGTAAGGCTGCCTGTTGTTCTTCCGCAAATTGGTGTGAACAAAGTTCACGATGTCTGGGCGGATGGGCGCCTTGAACACAGCGGGCATGGTGACATTTTTGCCCGACACTTCTCCCTTTTCAGTATACACTGATACTAATGGACGAGTACAAGCCTGGAAAGGAAACAAAAGAACATCCGCTTAAGGAAAAGCAAAATATACTGTTGCTATTCACAGTCAGTTCAAATATTGCTCAGTTTCAGAAAATCTTCAGCTCAACGGCAACAGTATCTGGACAGCAGGCAACTGTCCCTGAATACCGGATAAGATGCAAATTACAACATCACAGCAATATGTAGATTCATCTATAACACACTGTACACCCACACCCAAGATACAAATGCAACATAACCTATAATGCCATAAAGCCCATTCTTTACCTTCCACACTTCAGCTTCCTTTGCAAGACCTGTATCTACCATCTAATAGCTTACATTTACTATGTTAAAGATATCCCAAGATTTTGCATCTAGTAATGGACTTTGTGGTGGGGTCCTTTCATGCTACACTTGGATCTTTGAGAGAGGATGTCAAGTTGAGTTCTTGCAACTAGGCAATAAAGGTCCTGCATCAATCAAAGCACCTTACAACTTATTCACACTTACTAATATTTGGCCTTTTCTGTTGCCCTACATCTGTTAAGTCTGTTGGTCACCAGGAAAATAAGCTTTATCCTGTTGAACCAGATGGGAAACATCTATTCACAGGTGGCCAATTTGTGGTTTTCCGGGTGGTATGGCCTATCACCTATCAATCCTCACCATTGGCTACGGTGGCCAAGATGAATGAGAGGAATAGCCCAAGACATCCAAAGGGCCACAAGCTGCCCACATCAAAATTAAGTTCCACATGTCTCCACCAGCACCATGTTTATGAAGAATCCATATGCAGAATTTGCAGACTATTGCCCCCACAAATACCTTTGACCTGTCATACATCACCATTTCAGCTTCTTGAGGTTCTTCTAAAAGCAACTGTATATGAAATAGTTTGTACTAGAAGCCATGCAGATTAAACATTTGTGATTTTTACCCCTTTACCATAGTACTGAAGCTTATGAATTACAAAACAAAAATAAAGGCCCTGCTAGAGCAGACCGAGGCAGGTTTGCCAAAGTCCAGCATCTTGTTTCGCAGTGGTCAATCACGTGTTTCTGGGATACACACAAACAGGAATCAAGAGCTACTTGAGGGTGTTTACCTTCTACCTTCAAATTTACTGGTGCTGAAAGGTATGTCCACTCCACAGGGAAGTTTTATTTTGCCATGATATATTCTATATATATTTGATATTCCAGATCAACTTCTTCAACCTGGTGACTATAAACTTCTTAACTCCAAGCCACCATAACCAATAGACTAGAGAATTTGTCATCCAATAGATCTCTAACTCCTGTATCATCCAGTGGGAAATGGGACAGCTAATAAATTTCTTAATATGAAAAAAGTGTGAAACAAGTGCATTTAGCAGCGGAGACTGTAAAGTACACATATGAAGCTCCCCAACTCAAAATTTATGCACTTACCAGACTTTTTTTGTGGAGGATCAGGCATCCTGGAGCCCGTCTGAAGTGCAATTCCCATCAGCCAAGCCAGCGGCTAGAAGAATGGGAGCTGCACTCCAAAAACTCCTGCGGCTACACGTAACCAGCCTTAGGGGTTCTCCTAGCACCGCCACCCCCCGTTGCCGGGGAAAAGACAGCGTTGATTTACCTTGCAAAGTTGTCAGGATTGCAACCAGGCAGTGTACGTAAAGCTACACAACAGCAGCTAGAATAACGAAGCTAATAATAGGGTGCTATCCATGGCGATAAAGCTGATGACCGCGTTCTGCAGTCGCGCTCTCATCCCTTGGGGACCCTCCTTCCTGCCAAAGGCTGCCGGATCCCGAGCCCTTCCCCCGGCCCAGGAGCGACGCACTGCGCTGCGCGAACCGCGTCGCTCTGCCTCCGCGGCCTGGCCCGGTGCGGCCTCCACGCGGCAGCGGCTCCTCGGGGCCAAGATGGCGCCCAGCCGGCCTCCCTCCCGCTCCTCTCCGCCCGGCCGCGGCGGGCTCCTTCCCCGCCTTCCTCCACCGTCGCGATGCCCTGCAAGCCCGCCGCCCTCTCGCCGCGGCGGCCCCTGCCTCTTACCATGACGGCGCGCTCGCAAGTCGCGGAGGAGACCCTCGCCTGCGCCTCGCCCGCCGCGGCCCCGACCGGAAAAGGAAGGGCGTAGCGCCGCCGCCGCCTTTTGCTCCTGCGCCTTTCCCTGCTCTGGCCCCGCCCCCCGCGGCGCCTCGGCGGCCAGCCCCGCCGGCCCTCCCCGGGCAGCGCCCCCCGCCCCCGCGCGAGCAGACGCGAGCAGGGCGACTCGGGCCGCCGCCGGCGCGCAGAAACCGCCCGAGGAAGGCGGGGACTCCTTTCCGGGCGGAGGGGAGAGCCGCCTCGCTCCGGCGGAGGGATTCGCGCTCTGGCGAATCAGGGCGAGGGAGCGGCGGCGGCGCGCAGTTCGGGCGCCTGAGCGGCGGCGGCAGCGGCGGCGGCGGCGGCGGCGAGGAGGGGTCGCGCGGAGCTCTTGCGGGGAGGGGCCGGCGCTGCCCGGTCCGTTCGCGGCTGCGGCCCCCCGGGAGCGATGGACGCGCGGCAGCGGCTGCGCGAGCCGGTCCTGCGGCTCCAGGGCCCCCTCCTGCAGTGAGTGCGCTCCCCTCCCCCCCCGCTCCGCATGTTTGCGGCCGCTGACCTCGTCCAGGCATCCCGCCCAGCGACGCGGCCTCCTTGCCCGCTTTAGCCTCGCGCCGCAGCGCGGGGAGCTGCGTGCCGGCCGGGGCGGGTCAGAAATCAGATCGTGAGCGAGCCACCCGCTCAGTAGGAACCCCCGCAGGGTTACTCTGTTTCGTCGTTTGTTAAGGCGTCCCGAGCGCACGGGGGGGTGGGGGGAACGGACTCGCGAAGTGTGAAAGGATCACTACCGTAGCCAAGCAGGAGGACTGCGAAATCCCCGCGAGGGGGAGGACGGTTGCAGCCGCCCTGCGCGCCCCGCAGGCCGAGGCGAGGAAGGGGGCTCGGGCGGGCCGAGGCCGCGCGCCCGCCCTGCTGGGGCGTCCCGTGGCTTGCCGGCCTGCGGGCGGCGATGGGCCGGGCGGCCCTGCCCCGGCCTGCCCTCAGCATCCAGGGTTGGTCCGCAGGGAGGCGCTGGGCCAGGGCCTCCGTCCGAAGGGAGCGGAGTGAGCCGCTCGCCCCAGGAGGAGAAAGGGGCTCGCCGCCCCCGTGGTTTGAAATTTAAGCCCCGTATGTTTCGCTCTAGAAGACGCACCTGACCATAAGACGCACCTAGTTTTTAGAGGAGGGATCCATGGAAAGCTTCCTGATCATCACAGGCACGTTCCCCATCACGTCCCCATGGACTTCATTAAAAGACGGGTTGCCATTTGAAAACACATGCCGACCTGTGACGAACAGCTCTCACCTGCGCCGGCGGAGGGCATGTGTGCCAG